CAGTCTCCTTGACCTTTACCTGATACCTCCATAATGATAAAACTGTAACCAGGAACCTCCCTGTCAGTCAAGAGAAGCAGGCTTTTTCTACACAGGCAGTTGTGTGGTCAGCTAAAGTCACGGGTCCTTCGTGTGGAGGTGACATTCATTCGGCTAGCAGAAACCGGGGGTCCAGATAGCATCGACAAACACTTCAACATGGCACAGGCAGTGCAAAAACTGGTCGCTAAAGTACCTACCCTGCTCGGTGGTAAGTTAATTTATTGTATTATTTAATCTTAGCAAGTATTTAATAATGGGGACTGAATAGTAGGCAGTATAATCTTTATTGACAAGACGTAACATTAGCTAGGCCGATGCTGTCAGTTACACTGAGACTCAGCCATCAATTGAATGAAGGGGATATAACGTTAGCTAGCTAATGCTATTCCACACAGAAACACTGAATTGAGATTCATGTTGTTTTCCTTTGTCTTACTAAGTTGATTTTTTAGTTAGCTAGTACGTGCTATTTGTGTTGTTTACACCCATTAAGCATAAGCCAGACAACGCTAGCTAAGTGGCTAAAGCTACCAACCAACATGCTATGAGCTAACTGTAGCCGCAGCGTAGAAAAGTTGCACCAGACTTGTAATTACAGTATTTCTTCTCCCGTAGCCGCTGTCACCTTCTCAAAACCTCGGCTAGCGACCTTCTGGTACTATGCCCGTGTTGAACTTGTCCCACCTTCCCCTGCCGAGATCCCCAAGGCCATCGAGGGGGCCGCAAACGTCATCAAGGGTTTCCAATCAGGACGTCTTGCTCAAACCACAGTGAAGGTGCGTGTGTTAATGTCAGGTAGACCTTGTTGTGTTTCTGTTTGTGTGTGTTTGTAAAGAGAACGTCTGTCAGTCTACAGCGATTGGTCAACATATATCATGTATATGTTATCAAAAACTATCGTGACATTAGAAAGCCCAATACAAGCATGTACTGTTAATTTATCAGGGGACACACTGTTGTAAGTGTGGACAGAGTGGACAGACTAAATTGTGGACAGACTAAATTGAACTGTTAACAAGTATGCGGTTTGTTTGAAGTGTCCTTCATCTTAAAGGTGAATGACTTGGACGCATTACCCTCTTACTCCTCGCAGACTTTAGCCATGCAAATTGTTTTAATTTGATTTGCCTAAGTTGGCAAACCTGGATACAACAGAGCACTTTAACATGACTTTGTGAATTCTATATTTATTTTTAAAAGTTTCCGACACTCGCAGACCTTACAGAGAACAGCTTTCTCTATTAAGCTGTGTTCGACAATGTTTTCTATTAAAACTGTTAAAATCAGAAACTGTTTATTGCCAAGTACGTTACACATACAATAAATTTGGCAAGGTGATTTGGTGTGTAATAGTAGAACATAATTAAAAAATGGAAAATATGAAAATGTACAATAAAATATGGTAAACAAACAAGAGTATGTTAAAACAAGTATATTAATGGAGAAAAGATGTGCTATTTTCTTTAAATAGTTTTTTAAACAGACTATTAAACACTCGTGGGTGTACACAATGGAACATGTCCCGTACCCGAGTGAGAACTATCAGCTCATTATTTGTCACTGTCAGTGATGGAGGAAATTTGGTAATTCATGTGATTTGCAGGTCTCTGTAACAGCACACTGTGACCCATTGTCACAACTAAATCATTATTTTGTAGAAAAATATAGACGTGAAACATGTCTTAAAGTTTTAACAGGCCAGGAGACCGTAACTATTTGTAAATCTTGGAACCTGGCCAAAGTAATTGTATTATTCTCTTGTCATTGATAGTCTGTGCTGTACAAAATCAAAACATGATTAAGCAATTCTCAAAGAAAATAATGACATTGACAAGGTGGCTAATATCACATTTTACTTAATACATTTCTGCAGTAGAAAATCTAATTAAACATTTTGTTTCCACACAGGATGCTGTAAGGAATGGACTGGTGGCCACTGAAGTGTTGATGTGGTTTTACATTGGGGAGTGCATTGGCAAAGGAGGCGTCGTTGGCTATGATGTCTGAAATTTGGACTGTCATGCTTCTTTTCTTTTTCATTTGAGCATTGTATGCTCAACTTCCTGCAAGAATCCTGGGAACCAATAAACAGATATCTATTGTTAAGAAAAACTTGTTTTGTGACTCCTTTTTGAATTTTTTTATAATACATGCATGTATTTGACAAATGTGTTTTTTTTTTATAGATTATACATGTATACCAGTGGCGGGCCGTGCATTTTATACCTGGGCCTCCACTGCTGTCCTGCAGCTGAAACACCTCATTATTATTATTATTATTACCACAGCTACGGTTATTATTTGTCTCGTGTAAAAATGAAGCGCAACGCCTATAAATACACTAACTGCAGAGTGCAGATACATGAATACGCCGAGAGTGTGTTTCCTCTCTTCTCTGACTGCAGCTGGGACTGCTGCGCACTACTGTGAGAGTGAGCGCTTTGGGGCGGCTCACGGCAGCACTCGCTGCTCGTTCACGACAGTGCAGAACGGTTTGTCGCTAGTAGCTTTTGACAAAAAAAGTCGCCAAGTTGGCAACACTGGCACCGACTAAATGTGTCCCCAGCTCAACATTGGACATAACAATGGTTCCTATCGCATATAAAACCAAACAATCCATCTTCATAAAAACAAGTTGTACTCAATAATAATATATAAACAAGCATGTTGAAGCTACCACAGGTGTAAAAACAAAAGCAGTTCACTTACCAAAGCTGCTGTTCACTATTTAAAGACAAAGTCCATCCTCCTTTCATTATAAAGAGTTTAATCTCACGGTTGTTCAGTACATCCGTGCATTTTAGTTCCAGTAAGAAGTCTTTCTCGATTCATGGACGCCAGTGAAGACAGTCGAGCCTCCCCAGTTGTATTTCTTGAATACGTTTTAATGCATTTGAGGGCTGAAAATGTCCGCTTGACAGAGGCAGCCGATATTGGGATCGTCACTGCCCAACATGTCACGCTAGCCCACTGACCAATCACGTACTTGTAGGCCAACTAGAAGGCTCTGACATGTCAAAGAATATGCCCAACATGTCAAACAAAAGATCTGATTGGTTGAAGACTATGACAATCAACAATATCGTCCCCATTCACTTAAACTGCAAATGGATGCACTTGTGAGTCTGCAGGCCTCGGGCCTCTGTTCTTACCTAGAGACACAGAGGTGAAATCTGATTGGATAAAAGCTCTACTTAAAACAAGCTGCACTGGAAGCAGAGCAACTGAGGAAGACAGTAGCTGTGTATTGAGAAAATAAGCTCATGGGGAAAAAAATGTATAATACATGTAGTGTATTTATGAAAAGTTATTAAATTATAAAATAGCTCTAACTTTGTGATTCTGTCTAGGCCAGCAGAGAAGGCTTTGCTGTTCAGGAGCTTGTTCTTGTGGGTGCTACTTGCTCACTGTTGGACAACAGAGACTTTGCTACTGGTATTACTAACACCTATGATTTTCCCACTAGTTAAAATGTCCTCTGGGGAAAAAAAGGCTTTCACCATTAGACAAAGTCAATGTGTCACTAGGAACCTCCAGTGGGTTTCACTTTATGTACCAGTATGCACCTGGACTATCTAATTGCAGTCCTGTGAAAATGGGTCTGCTGTGAAAACCAGGAGATGTTTGAAGAAACCAGATACTGTCCTGTATCTTCACTTGACTGTGTCACACCCCATCTCTGTCATAACGTTGGATTTGCACTTGTCTTGAACATGCTTGCACTAACAAGCAATGTAGTGCTTTACATCCGTAGATAAATATACACAATGAGCTGGTTTTAGATATAATTTGGTGTGAATGAGTCGCTGTTTGGCCAATTATACCAGTGTATGTATTGTAATACAGTATATTGCTCTCATATTGTGGATTTATGCAGAAAAATCCAAAGTGTCTTGATAAATATATCTGAAGTTAACATCAGATTTTCTGAAAGCCCATTTGAACAGAACACACCACAGTTGCTTGACGATTCATTTAATGATTATACCCACAGTAATAGTAACAGTGGTTATTACATTTTTATTACAGTTCAGTTCCCGTAATCAAGCAACAGAGGGAGCCATAAGTATCATCAATGTTCAGGAGGTGTGAGTGCTGTAGTTTGTTTCAGAGCAGGGTGTTTGTTAATTCACAGATGTGATTAAAAACCAAATGGTTCAAATACCAGTTAAATACTTAAAAAGGACAAATTACATCTTTGTTGATACGGGTACTTGTGAAATTGTTTAGACCTTGCCTTTTGTTAAAGCACAAACAAAAGAAAAGTAGCTCTATCTTCTCATTTAAATCCACATAATTTCTAATCCAATAGACCATTCATTTGGCAACATAGATATAACACCATCTGGTCTTTCTATATTCTTGTGTAGGAATAGATAAATAATCTCAACACCAACATGAATTCATTCATTTAGCTCTTTATTTAGAACTACCAATGAATCATTTTGTTACAAAACAAGTCATTTTGTGATATCAATTATACTCTGGTTGTCCATAGGTAAACACACATACAAATTAAATAAGGGTTAGTTCAAGTGAAAAAAAAACCAGTAACGACTCTCAGCAACTCCGATAATATCAAAACATGACAAAATGAAATGAACATGAAATATTCCTTTGAATGTCTTGAAACCATAATAATACTAATCCTGATGCACCAACACGAATGTTATTGACTCATACAGATCACAAGGGTGCAATACATTTTAAATGACTTATGCAATGATAGTGGCCCACAATGGAATGACCTATCATAATAAAATGTTCCTTATCTCAGGGTACATCCATTACGACTTATAATTACATCATCACTTGAGATATGCCGCACCCTTTATGAAGTAAATGGGTAATACCGACATGATATAATATTATCCAGCAGTTCTGATCAGATGCTAAAACACTTTATATTGTACTTGTGTGATTAAGTAGTAATTATATATTTCAATAATGTCTTAAAAAACATATGAAAATGTGATTTGAAAGCACAACGCAAACTGTAATATATGTGATGTGTAGCGTTAAAAAAAAAGTGTATACACATTGGACGATATAACTTCATTAATGTGGTTTGGTACAGTTTTAAAATATTGCAAAAATATATATTCCAAAAGCACTGCTGTATATTATGAGAAACATGGAAGATACTTTCAGATTTTCAAATGAGAGCTTAAATATTGGGGTTCACTTGACATTGCAGATCTTGACTGAGGTTCCAACTCCGAAGCCCGGATAGAGGGGCTCAACAAATGTGGTCTCAAACCTGTGCAGGAGGCTCATGGAGTTGCCTATGCTGTAAAATGCCAGCACGCCCGCAGAGTGGTCCAGGTACACGCCTATCCTCGGGGAGTGGGGGCCGCTGACGGCCTTGTCCACCCGGTTGTGCCAGGCGGAGTAGCCTGTGTCGGAGCAGAGCAGACTCCAGGATTTGTCGTTGTAGCCCAGCAGACACAGCGAGCCTTTGCCCTTCCGGCTGATGCTCCTGTAGGCCACCCCGATGGAGAACTCCCCACTCCACTCGATCTCCCAGTAGAAGCGGCCTCCGGACAGGGCCTCTCGGCACAGCACCTGGGCGAAGCTGTCAAACCTCTCCGGGTTGTCTCCGTAGGGCTGCAGGTCCCTGGTGCGGATGACTTTTCTGTTGTTTTCAGAGACGTACAGCTCCTTGTAGGCTGTGATCGGGTCCATTTTGAGCTGGCAGAAGTCTGTGTAGCAGAATCAATACATTTTCATAATGTTTAATTGGCAACCAAATTGTGTTGGAGTTCAATAGTCTTCAGTTCAATACACCCAGATACTTACATTTCACAAAATCTGCTCTGCTCTTTGGCTCTGGAGGAGACGAAGGAGCGTTGTCCACCATTTCTTTGCCTGCACAAGAAGAAGCACTGCATTAGGTCAGTGTGAACCGCATACACCCACACACATGCCTTTAATTCTTTTGTCCATGTGTAAAGACTCACTTTGTGGTTTGCCTCCTACGATGAATGGCGACTACATTGTCAGCCTCAATAATAATTAACCTCCTACGTGCTTATACTGCTATAGGACGTGACAACACTCACCTCTGCTCCTTCTGTCCAATGTTCGACTTTCTGTGGTGTACACTGGGACCTCATTCACTGTAAGACAGAACACATTCGTATTTGGCACGATATATTGTGTTGTTGTTTTTCTCCCTATCATGCAGAGGCATTGTGTATTCTGCTGCTTAGGTCACACCTGACTTGGAGATCTTAAGCAGCTCCTCTTTGCCAAACTCCTCCAGGCGGTCCTTGATCTCAGCCACAGCTTTCCTGACAGACCCGAAGGAGAAGTCAGGGTTCACCGTCACTCTGGGTATGAAGCCGTCATCGGTGGGGGTGCAGAGGTAGTTGAAGTTCTGATGGGAAAAGAAAAAAGAATTGTTGTGACAAGGACAAAGACTACCATCAATGTGATCCATGTGAGGAACTGTCAGAGTTGACTAACTATATTTTTCACACTTGGAACATGGTTTTAAAGTGTTTAAAACACATTACTTCAGTGACTGATTCATAGTAAAAGGGTTGTCCAAAGATGGGGACATTTCTGTGCAATAAGCGGTGCTATTAACTCTTAAATTGCTTGTTTAGAAATGCTTACACCCAAAGTGATACAAAGGACTTAACATGTCGTAATACTGTCATCGTAATCATGAACAGCCAGCGTAAGAAGGGTGTATATCTTATTAAAAACCACACCCATACACTAATTACTTAAGCTTTTAGCACCAAATCAGACCTCTAGATGTATTTCTTCTCCCAACAGTTGCTCCAAAGCTGTTACTTACCTGCAAAAAGTGGATGTGGTCGTCAGTGCTGTACAGCTGCTTGAGGCCGGTCTCCTTTTTCTTCAGTTCATCGATCTCTTGTTCCAGCCGCTCGATCAAAGCCTCGGCCTGGTTGAAAGCAGCCTTCTCGTTGATACCGATCAGCTTGGTCACCTCTGACCTCATCCTCTCAATGGAGCGGATCATGTCCTCGAACATCTTCTGGCTCTCCACCATGGCTCTCTGGGCCGAGTTCTGGACAGAGCACCCCAGGTGTCAGTGGTATACAGAAGACACCGGTGTACAGAACATCTTACAGCCACTGTCTGTCTTTTGCATGGAAATACATTCTTACCTTCAATGAATCCACAGAAGTCTTCAGCTCGTCCAGCTCCTTTACCCTCTCCTGGCATTTCTGTTTAATCTCAGCTTGGGAGATTCCCAAGAGTTTCTGCGGAACAAAAGGCACATTACACACCCATCTATTTCACTGTTTTGTTTAGAGTGCACTCCCATGCTGACTGGCTTTTTAAAAAAGTATTATGCAGCAAAGTTGATCATAAAAGTCGCATTAACTCAGATTTATAAGACGTAGTTGAATGTCCTGCTGTTTTATTGTGTGAAATGTAAAGCCCCATATTTGTTGGTTCAGTAGAAAAACATTCTTTCTCATCAAAGAATATCTTGGGAGGCCCTTCAGCAGGTCTAATAAACCCCGCTCAAAGAAGCTTCTTAATACGGCCAGCTTTTATCTCGGAGGGAGAGGGGGGTAAAAAAAAAATCTGTGCTGGAATTCTGATCACGTTAGGAATGTCAATCTACCGCAGCCTGACTGTTAAAGAGATGTTTCAAGGTGCATGCAGCACTGACACACAGAATAGAGGGGTTTCTAATTCAGCTTTTACTCGAGCCCACCAAACCATTCTTCAAGATAAGCTTGAGGAATGTGGGGAATCTAGGGGGGGGGGGGGGGGGGGGGGAAAATGAGGGGGGGGGGGGGGGGGGAGACGGAGTGATACGTGTGAGACTCAGGTTGTTAATCTTTGGATGAGAGAAACCAGACTCCTAATGCTGTGAAGAAAACAGTGGGATGAAGTATTACCCCATCATCATTTAGCCTGCATGGCTCATATTAGTTTGTTGCACTTATTGTATTCGTATTAGTTTGTTTCTGCACTGTACTTTTGCTCTAGTTTATGCTCTTAGATGCTTAAAAAAGGAGATGCACTTATGACTTCTGGTGACTAAAGTTCTCTTGAATACCTATGTTGAATACACTTATTGTAAGTCGCTTTGGATAACAGCATCTGCTAAATGACTGTAATGTGATGTCATGTAATGGCTGCCATAAAAACACACCTAAATTACTCATAAGGAGGATCCAGTTGCCCTGAATGCTGCAGATTTATGCTGCAGTATCTGTTGACTTATCTACTCTTCATCCCTTTACAGGCAATGTGATTGGTGAGTCATTTCAATGTGCATTGCCATGGTTACACCGTCGCGATTGGTTGATTGTGAGGCGTTTGCAGGCCTTGACTCCCTGACATTCCAGTATCATTACAGACCCCCACTCCCACAGGTGGGAACCAGTGCCACAGAGGGAAGTCAAGAGAGAGTTTCTGTGTGTATCTCTCCCACAGCTGGAACACCGTATTCTCTGAAAAGCAGCTTTCAGAGGCGATAACTGATGTTAGACACTCCCCCGGCCTCCCCGCAGCTAATCAGAGAGCTGGATTTGTTTTGGCGGCGAATGCCTGCCAGTTTTAGCTGATAACGTCGGTGAAATGGGTCAAAGTACAACTGCCAGTTGTAGCATAGGGGCAGGGGTTGGGAAAAACACTGTTTGCTTTAACTCAAAACCCTCCAGTGACTGTATAAATCAAATGTATCAAGCACATGCCTCATTGTTTATCTGACTGTGAAACATATTCCAGTTGAATTAGGAGAGTTTCAGCTTGTTGTTTCTCTCATGTACTGAACACACATGAAACTTTCTGACATGAAATCACACTTTCACTCTCTGAAAAGCTGATTGATGTCTGTTTTTCTTCTAACAACACTATTTATGAAAAGGATGTTACCTGTTTCTCTCCCCTCTCTGCCTCAGCAGAGACAATGTCATGGCCCCTGTGTTCACTGACTGTGCAGATAGCACAGATACACATCTGGTCCGTTCGACAGAAGAGCTCCAGGGGCTTCTGGTGCTGCGGGCAGATCTTCCTGTCCAGGTTTCCCAGCTCATCCACCAGCTTGTGCCGCTTGAACGTGGCTGACTCGTAGTGTGGCTTCAGGTGCTTCTCGCAGTAGGATGCCAGACAGTTAAGACAGGACTTCACAGCCTTTAATTTCTTCCCAGAGCAGAAGTCACAGGGGACGTCGCTCGGTCCGGCATAGATGTTGCCCTGGGACGTGTTGAGGTTAAGGTTGAGGCCGCTCTTCTTGATCTTCTCAGCCACCATGCTCAGGGTGGCGTTGGGCCGCAGCACCGGCCTCTGGGTGAATGTGATCTTACACTGGGGACAAATGTAAATCCCTGTGTAGTCGGCCTCGTTCCAGTAGCCACTGATGCAGTCCATACAGAAGCTGTGGCCACAGGGGATAGCCACGGGGTCCTTCAGTAGGTTCACACACAGGGAGCAGCTGAAATAATCTGGAGACGTGTGGTCAGCCATCGCGATGGGCTCCAAACACAGTCAGACCTGCGGGAACAGACAGAGAGTGCCAGGAGCAGATAGAGATTCCGTCGAGTGTGCCTGGGAGCCCGCCCTCAAGAGTGTGGTGCAGCCTGCCAGGGACAGGACCGACTTGTATTTCTGAATTCCAGAGGTTATTGATTGAAAGCAGACAAGGCCCTCCCCCTGTGCTGTGAGTATATCGAGCCCTGCCCAGTTCAGATAAACAGGTTGAGCAAGGAGGGAGAGGGAGAGGGAGAGGGAGAGAGCAGAGTGAAAAAAAGTGAATGAATGAAATGTAAAAAGCACACCAAGTGGAAACTAATGTGCCAGAAAAAAGAGCTTCCCTTTTCCTCGCAGTTTCCTTTATTCTCAGATTTCTCATGTGGCTCATCCGCGGGTGAAGTGTGCGCACAGTTCTCTGCAGCTGTATTTCCTCCTATTGTTGTTGGACATAATCGCCATTGTCTTAAACCGGTTGTAGTCCGACAAACATAAATGCAGCCTAAAGTACTGTAGGAATTTCAGGGACCACCCAGTGAACAAACGGACACACTCTGAGCAGAGTTTCTGAGCAACTTCAAACATCAGGGATGTTGCTGCTCCTTTTCCTCACCAGAAAACCTTGTTGATTTTAACCTGCTGCAGGCTGTTTGTCCGAGAGTTGCGGTATTTACACTGTGTGCAGTCAGACCAGTCCGGCTACACTTTCACAGATCAACTGTAGATGTGTGGATGTTTGAGCGGCAGGAAAGAAAACGTTGAGACACCAAACGGAAACACACGTGCACGAGCGTGCGTGAAGAACATTCCTGTCAGTTCCAGGTGTGTTGTTACAATGCATGGCCCACATATTTGCGTTCACGCTTCATCACAAGTTATGTTGCATTTTTTATTCTTAAAATATCCCTGTCATGGTTACCTGTGGGTGTAGCTGGGGGGGGGGGGGACTTCAGTGGAGACCCTGACTCACTGTGCATCATAACATGTCTGCTGACATCATAGCATCTCATTAGCATTTCAAATAGACATACTGGTTTCTACCAATACCACTGTTTTTTGTTCAAGAGTCACTACTGTGAAGGAAAATAGAAGTTTTATTAAGGCGGAGTTTTAGCATTTCCTGCCTGATGCCGAATCATGTAGCAATAACAAAAAGTTAATTAAAGGTTGCAAAAAGTACATTGGCTGCACCCTCGATTCATATCATGACTTCATACACTCAGTTTCACCTCTCCATATTTGTTCAGGTTTCGGATAAGCCAGTTTTTCCTTCCTTCCACCAGAGTAAAGGAAGCGCTCTCTGCTTACAAATGAACTAGCTGTTAGTGGCCAGGGCCGCTACCATGGGAAAAACACTTTGATTCTTACTCTGATTTTACAGAGAGTTTCTTACTCATGATAGAGAAGTGACGACCATACAGTGCACATGTGGCCGAAATGTCTACTGGTATGGCATGGTAATGTATATGTTACAAGACACTTTAATACGACTTAATAACAGGTTTCTCTAAAAAGAGTTGCATGCCTGTTACAAGTCCCGGTGTTCTTCGATGAAGCAGACGTCTCCACAGTCACCTGAAGCTCAGTCCAAGTCCAATTCGAGGAGAGATGTCAACCTGCTTTCTGCAGGGAAAGTGCATGAGAACACAAATGGCTTTTTGATTAAAGGAAACAAGGACCCACTTCACCGAGCACGAGTAATAAAAACAGGAAGAAACAATAATCAAAATGTGTTCTGGGAAAACACATTTGCTGATTCTGGTGGATACGCAAAGGTGAAGAGTACTGAAACAGACACAGGCAGAATGTGAATGGAAAGGCTGCACACCACTAGCAAGCATCGCCGACACCACAACGCCTGCTAGGAGAAGAGCAAAAAGCAGCACATGTTGAGTGTCTGTCATGGCCGTATTCATATAAGTATGTCCTAAATAAAAAACTGGACTGATCCCAAAATATAGCTTTATTAAGGTGTCATGATAAGAATATGCAGATTTGACATAAAATACAAAATAGCTTGGTTAGATTGTGTGTGGGAAAATATGAAATAAAACAATGAATAAATATTAGTTTGATCTAAAAGCATTGCAGTAGGTCTGGCACAATGTGCACGATAAGCAAGTCGGTCAGCCAAACTGAAACTTGAACCCTTGACGGATATTCATTTGATCATGTTTGCTCTTAACTGATATGAAGCCAATACTTGGGTAAGTAAAATATTGCCCGTAGGTGTGGAGAACTATTGAGGGTCCACTGGCTCAGATATCAAGGTGAAGTTTAGGTCAACAGGTTCTTCTTTGCCATAAAATTCAGATATTTTTGTTTTATGGAAGCAAAGTCCATCCCTTGGCTGAAAACAGGGTTAAAGGGCCGGCTAGGTTGGTCAACGAAAACACAGGAAAACCGAAAGTCTTTTAAGAAGGGAGAATGCTTTGCAAGACAATAAGAAAAAAGTCTCAATTAAATTGAGTGTCAGTTTAGAGGCCTGTTGAAGTGCCATTTTAAATGCTACTGGCGTAGTTGGCAATCAGATGAGCATGCAAGTCACAGTGACAACCATTTTCACTGGTCTTTTTGTCAGTCTTTATAAATAGATAACACTTACTTAATTCACAGGATGTGCAGTGAATATTAAATCGGAATATTAACTTTGTTAAACCGTGAGATAAGAATAGAAATCATAATAAAGTCATTCTTGCACGTGTAACATCACCTAGATCGGTGACTCGAGGTCTTTCGAAGGTTAAAAATGATTATTTGAAATAAAAATGAAAATGTCACAAGATATGCTAGAACAGAAAATGTAAATATCTGTTTCTGTGTGACAGCTTTCTCCTTATTGCCATCAATCTATATCAAGATAGTGATGTTTCGTGTGGAGCATGAGCCCTGCCACAGAATTCTTTTTTGGACAAATAAGATGCTACATTTAGTGTTGCATATCAGCTGTAGCTACTGTTGTTGACGGACAACAGACCCTATGATGTCTGGCACTCTGCTCGAGCCCTGCTGGCTCTAGCACAATGGAATCTTTGAAGCAGGCCCTCCTGTTATCTGGGCTATCAAGTGTAGTTGCATTCCTATCGCCATTTCTACTGCCCTGAAACTCCATCTTGGCTGGGAGGTGTGTTCACTGTAAGGTGAAATCTACAGAGGAAGGTATTTAGCTCAGAAGAGACAACATTCTGAGAGTTGGTTTCAAGGTGCACATTTTCTTACTCGAGATAGAATAACAGTTTGAAATGTAGTTTCAGTGTTGACTTACAGAAACTGCAGGCGTCCAGTCAAACCTCAGAGAGAATCAGTGGCAATGAAAAGCAAAGTAAAAAGTTGATAATTAACTGGTTACAGGTGAGGGGAAGGTCAGGAAAGTCTCAGTGGCTCAAAGCAACAAAGTGGTTCATTTAGCATCACCGCACTTCATCCGTTGACCATACATCACAATGATAGGAGAAGCTGTCGATACTGACGGGACATTGCAGTTGTTCAGCAGGAAAGTAGTTGTATTATTACATGTCCAAAGCGAACAGTCTCCCTTGAGGCAATCTCTAACACTCAAGTGGAAAGTGTGACACACCTGAGGTTTCTTTTCATTTCTGCCTTCTTACTTTTGAATGTATACTTGCTTTCACTCATCTATTTATGGGATGCAAGTACTACTAACAGCATTCCAATCAGCACTTGTCATGTTCTGTTTAAACCCCTTTGGTCAAAAATGTATAAAATCCTCAAGGTCTATATATATTTTTTCATTGAAATAAAATATTAATGAATAATTAAAATAAATAATACAAACATTTGGAACAACCTTGTGTGTCATGATCACACATTTCATTCATTGTCATTACATTCTGTTGTTACATTCACTGTGTCCTTCTCTTGCCCCGCCCTTGTTTTACTGGTTTCGGCTTAACCAGTTTAGCCGCCCTCTCTGTTTACTCTATATAACTCGCGCACGTAGTAGCTGTTGAATCACTTTGCCACTGTGCTGACACGAACCACTGACTGTTGTGCCTACACAGCATATTCACTGCATTTGACGGATCAGCACTGAATTGTCACCATGTCATCCGACCAGGACGGCTGCCACCTGTGTAAGGAATACCTCCGGGATGCCGTGTCCATCCCGTGTGGCCACATCTTCTGTGCCGTTTGCCTCAAGACATACTGGGACCATGCCGACCACACGGGCTCGTACATCTGCCCAGAGTGCAGGGTCACCTACAGCAAGAGGCCCACCCCGAGACGCATGGGAGGCTCCCGGACCTCCACCATCCAACGCAACTCAGAGTCCTTTCCGCCTCCGCCTCCAGACCCCGACTACAACTATGCCGGGCCCCAGGACATAGGTTGTGACATCTGCATCGGAAAGAAGCATAAAGCCGTCAAGAGCTGCCTGATGTGTTTGGCTTCCTACTGCGACAAGCATCTCAAGCCCCACTATGAGTCAAACACTTTTAAAAGGCACAAGCTGGTGGATGAAATCGGCCACCTGGACAGACAGATCTGTCCCCAGCATCAGAAGGGTCTGGAGCTGTTCTGCCGCACTGACCAGATGTGCATCTGCGTGCTGTGCACGGTGAAAGAACACAAAGGTCACGACATGGTGTCTGCCGAGCAGGAGAGGGCAGAGGAGCAGGTACGTTTGACTTTGCTTGAAGCGACAACGCTGGTTTTCAGGCGGTCACCAGCTTAGGAACAGGTTTACTCAGAGCCATACAATGTGCTCTGCTCAGCATGATGAGCGTTGATCAATGTACGATTAACCTTTTGTTATTTGTGAATCAGCGATGACACATGTACCTATGACACAGTGGCGGGTAATTCCGGACAGAGCAGCTGACAATAGATTAAACAAACATTATGTGAGACACACCCCTTTGATAATAAAGCTGCGTCCTGCAGTGTCAACTTTGAGCTGCACACTGTTAGCATTCATTCTAAATTCTAAAAATAAAAATACAGATTTGATGATTTTGTCAATTTGAGATGTTGATTTGAGGGATTGTTGCCATCATTAACAACAAAGCCTGTTGTTTCCCCCATAGCAACGGCTGGGCGCCACCCAGGCCGAGATCCAGGAGAAGATTCATGACCGACTCAAGCAGATGGAGGAACTGAAACAAGCAGTGGACTCACTCAAGGTTTGTACCGCCACCACCGTCTATCACAGATAAAACCAGACAAACCACTAGTGGTTGAATGGAAAGTTGAATTAACTACCAGCACGGACGACATTCCTCCGTGTAGTAGTGACGACAGCCTCACTCAGTGCTACACCCGCTTGATTTATGACGTGCATGCTTGCTTTCCCGTGCAGAACTCAGCCCACACGGCGCTGCAGGAATGTGAGAAGATGTTTGCCGACATGATGCGCTCCATTGAGAGGATGCAGCAGGAGATGACCAAGCTCATCTCCGCCAACAAGAGAGCGGCGCTCAACAACGCGGAGGGCCACGTGGAGCGTCTGACCCATGAGATCGCAGATCTGAAGAGGAGGGACAGCGAGATCACCCAGCTGTCCCGCACTGAGGACCACATCCACTTCATCCAGGTAACCTTGGCACAACCACTCCACGGAGACATGAGTTAGACATAAATGTGTATCAGTCAATGTAAAAAAAAAAAAAAAAAAAAAAATCCACGTGTTGTTCTGCACGGTGCAACACGGGGGAAAAACAAACACATTTAAAGTACACCTTATCATGACTGCATGGCTGTTTTTCTTCCCTGGTTAGAGCTACCACATGCTGATAGCCCAGACGGAGGCGGAGGAGCTGCCAACGGTGACTGTCAACCCCTACTTCACCTTCGGCCCAGTCACTAAGGCCGTCTCTGAGATGAAACAGCACCTGAATGAGTTCAGCAATGACGAGCTGGTCAAGGTGGCCAAAGCAGGTGAGTTCAGAAACACAGGATTTAGATACTGTTAATATTGTGTTAATGATCTGGTAGCACTACGCACATGTGACCATTTTTTTTAAATTAACAGTTATTTTTTCTTTTCTTTTTTGCAGTTAACAAAATGACCTTCTGCCAACTGGATGAATCCAAAAAGAGACGATCAGTAAAAAGTAAGTCAGCCGTTTAAGAAAACTAATTTTGCTATTGTTGTTTTAATGGGGGATAACATAGTAATATGGTTTTAATAATAGTACACATGACTTTTAAATCCATAAAGCCAGCAGAGCAATGGTATTTAGAAATGATATTGAGCCAAATACAAAGTTAAGCATCATTTGGCATGAGACAGTTAGTCAAAGTTACAATTTCCCTTGTCCTCAGTTGAGCTTTGTGCATTCCTGTTTGATGTTATAGATTAGCGGGTAGCCTGAGGTCACTCAGGTGCCACATGGTTAAATGTCTGAAATACAATGTTGCAATTTGGATCAGATTCATTGACGAAGACAGGATTTCTAGATTTCTTTCACGGCGATAACACATGTATTGTGCCGTTGTTGTTGATTGATATTCTGTGATTAACAGCATGATATAATAGAAGCTGATGAAAGAAGATCAGTAAAATAAACACACCCTTCATGTTCCATTATGTCACTATTTTCCTAAATGATTCACATTTACTTTCCCAGGTGAAGAAGCCCCCGTGTACAAGTCTCTGCCGCCCCAGGACCTTCAGCACAGGGACGATTTCCTGAAATGTGAGTCTCAGTTCCTCCGCTCCTGTTTTCTGCAGTGACGCAGATCCCTGCTCTCCCTGCTCTCCCTGCTCTCCCTGCTCATTTCAGCGCAGGAGGCAAATTAACTGCTGATGAGGTTCTCTGTCAGACCCTGTGGTTGACTTCAAAATCTGGTTTTAGTAACTATGCTGGATGTCCTACAGTGTTGACAGAGACTGGGGCTGATTCGTGACAAATTTATCAGCTGGCACGTTCACGGCTTTGTGATTTGAAGCTTGCAGTTTTAGCGCTCCGTCCTTGTTTAAACTGAGTGCATGAAACTCTGATGTTCACTAACTAGTCAGATTAGAACAAAACCCCCAAATCTCAGGAGATCCTTGAGAAAACAGATGTGTTTTCTGCTTTTATACGTATATTCTGTTTTAAGCGATGTGCCAGTTGTTTCTGTTATTCAACTAAAACGAACTGCATAGTCTCAAAGGTCAAAGGAGAAGGGGTTCAAAGGTTTTGGGTCTCACCTGACGGTTACAGTTCAAGATGCACTTTGTTAACCGGACTTCTGTTTGTGGTCAAACTCACAAGCGGTGTTGATACCTCTGGCATTCCAGATAATAGGCCGAGCAGATCTAGGAGAGGCCACCGGGTGTCCCACCAACTGTGATCCGCAGAGGTGGAGATAAACAGCAGGCAGGTGACATCCAAGCCCAGTTAATATTCTGATTTCTGTGTCCAGCCAGAGGGTCTCCCACTTCTCCTTAAAATCATGTAGCAAAAGTTCAGAATCTAACAAAACTAGAAATACCTAACTACTTGCCACTGGTGGTGCAATGGTGAGGGGGTGCTTTGTCCAGAGGCTCTGTCCCTCTTGGGTTTCCTCACTCACACTTAACCCGAGCAGTTAAAACACTTCCTCTTGTGAAATAAATGATCTATTTGTCTCCTTAGTTGCTTGCGAGCTCACTCTGGACTCAAACACCGCCTACAGACAGCTCTACTTGTCTCGGGGGAACAGGAAAGCTGTCCTCAAGAAAGACCCCCAGTCTTACGGTGACCACCCTGCCAGGTTCGACTCCCTGCCCCAGGTCCTGTGTAAGGAGTCTCTCTCTGGAGGAGCTTACTACTGGGAGGTTGACTGGAGCGGGGAGGGGGCTGCCATCGGAGTCACCTACAAAGGCATCAAGAGGACGGGTTATGGAGACAGCTGCCGCATCGGCTACAACCGAAAGTCTTGGAGCCTCTTCTGCTCCGATTCCAGCTACTCAGCCCGCCACAACAAGGACCAGATCGAGATCAACGCGCCCTACTCGTCACGTATCGGGGTGTTCCTAGACCACGCCGGGGGTACCCTGTCTTTCTACGCCGCAGGGGAAACCATGTCCCTCATCCACCGCTTCAAGGGCTCCTTTAGCGAGGCCGTCTATCCAGGCTTCTGGGTTTGGTATGACTCAGGCGTCACCCTCATCAATAAGTGATTAAATAACACACTTCCTATGATCAATGTACAAATGGGATTCAGAGTGGGATGTATTTACAGAACAAAACCATGACTATTATCTGATGATACTTTATAATTCTTTTACAAGATATTTTTTATTGACTACGTGTCGTGTTGTGATTCAGGGGAACTGTTTTTGATGACTGTGAATATTTTTGCAAATCAATGTAAAATATGTGAAATGTAAGCTCAGGTGTATGAAGTGAATACATTTCAATTATCATTTGAAAACAATGAAGGCTGTACTCGATTGGAATATGTCACGTGATCATGTATACAGGTTATGATGCACTTATATTGATCAATAAACTTTTTTTTAACAAGGATGAACTGTGATATTGTCGTTGCATTTTTTTACCTGATACTTCTATTATCACAAGCTTTCACTCCGCTGGCTAATTACCTCTCTGCCTGAATGCCGAGGAAAAATAAAAGAACTCAAGCTTGATCTGATCGGATTCAATGTTATCCTCTAGTGTTCACATCCACTTGTTTGCATTACCGACATCACTCAATTCAAAATAAAAGGCATCTGTTGTGAGACAAAGGGAGAGAACGTGTTTGTGTGTGGTGATCCGTAGCATTTTGTCTGAGCAGTGTCGGCTTTGAGGAGGTCTGAGAGGCTCCAGAGGAATCGTAGAGGAGCAGGTGAGGTGTGACAGGCTCCTGAGCTCACAGAGGGTTGAGCCTCATCTAGCAGTTTTAAAGTGTATGTGGTATGCTGAAGGGTTTGGTCCAGTCTGACTCTAAATACCTTTATCATTGAGTTACTCATTAAAAGTCTGGACTCAGGCAGTTACCGTATTATGTGATGCAACACATGAACATGAAAGCAGTTCCACTTGATTATTGTAGGGGATAATATTACATGCAATTCAAGCCAGTGGCTTTTTTTTAAATCTTTACTAAATCGTAAACTTGTTATGTCAAAGTATTCTGATAATAGCACTGTATGGTCATTTTGGTTTCACTGGCAGCATTTTAGAGAAACTAAAACTGGGAACTAGAAAGATAATAAAACATGTTTTTCATTTGGACTATGGACTTTTCATTGGTTACATATTCCCATATCTGATTCTCTTAATCATACTTTAGTTGCCAGTTGGGATCAATGAAACATCCCAGCTGATGACATTGACAAACAAAAAGTTTTATTTTACATTTTTAATTTTTTTTATTTTGCACAATTCAAAAAAATAAAATAAAAAATAAACAAACATAACAGAGATATATGAATATCACAGTGCAGGAAAAGGCAGAAAGCCAACTGGGCTTATTTGAAGCCTGCACCTATATAATATTAAAACTTTACAAAATTACAATCATTAAATTAAATATGCATAAAAGACATTTTTTTGTTAGGTGGGAAAAGTCATTCCATAATTTGGTTCCCCTAAATCTTATTGAAAATTGACCTCTGCTAGTCAGCAATTTAGGAGGATGAAGATGTGAAGATTGACGAGTTGAGTAAGAGTGAACCTGTGAATTGAATTTGTAGTAGGTCTTGAAATGATCAGGAATATTCCCATCACCTGAAAGTATCTTATAAATGAAAACACACGTTTGAGAAATATTGATGTCATAAATAGTAAGAATCTGCAATTTCTGAAATAGAGGAGTAGAAGAGAAGTGTGACTCTGATCGGGTTGCGATCCTAACAAAACGTTTCTGGAGGACCAACATTTTTTGCAGAGTAGTAGGAAAAGTACTCGCTCAAACTACATTACAATATGAAAGATAGGGATAAAAGGAGAGAGTTTGCAGAGACAAGATGTCTAACCCTCCTTATTATTCCAATAGATTTGTTTATTTTTCTACTAACACAGTCAATATGTTTACTCCAACTTAAACTCTCATCAATAATAATTCCTAGGAATTTTGTAGATGACACTTGAGGCATTCAGTCAGAATTGTCTGTAACCTTCAGTATCCTTCTCCTGTGATGGTGGAGTGAAGTGAGTTTAGACTGTGGAATCCTAACACTGCAGCCTTGAGGGAAAACTTTGAAGCTACACCAGAGAGGATATGAAAAACTCCCCCAGAAGTCTTGAGGTTATGGTCAGCGGGTGAGTTTTGCCATTGTTCAGTGATATTGTATCCTTGTTTTCTGAAAAAAACATTTCCCTACAGTTTTCTCTGAACTCCAGGCTCCAGACTTGCACTGCAAAGATGAGGGATTGTACAATTTTTGTAAATAGCTGTAAAATCCCTTGTGAGCTTGCTACCTCTAGTGGAGAAATGTACACAATGCTCACCAAGGATGTCATCGGCCACTTTTCACCCCTCTGGGAAAGCATCTGTGTGGGGAGATGATTCACTGTTGGAGATAAGAAACATTCTGAACCAGTGCAAGTATGGTATAATAAACACGTTTCGGTTGGCTAGACTGTAGTAGTCCAGCTAAATTCTGGCAAAGAGCTTGTAAAAACAGACTAATTGTGACACACCTCCCTGAACAATATCATCCTACCTTGACTTCTTTGTACACGTTTGTTTTGTAAACACTACATTGTGTAAAGTGATACAGCCTACCTGTCATTTTGCACCACATGGAGTTAAAGGAAACGTCGTCAGCGACAAGTTTTAATTCGTTTCTAGATCCAAGTATTTGTGAATTAGCGAGCATGAGACAGGGCAGCACGCAAAATCCTCGAATGAATAATTTAAACAACATAACGTTACCTTTCTTTGATACACCAAATGGGGACAAGCGGTGGAATCGCTTAACTGAGATGAAATACACAGTCTCTAATCCAAACCTACACAAACGGGTGGCCCTTTCACTCCCAACTTACTTGACGTGTAACTTAATAAACATATTCATGTTTTTATCCCATCATTAGGCCACCCTGTCTGTAGAGGGCAGTCAACCTCAAACAACACACGAACAAGAAGGACTTGTTTCTTGTCGGACACAATTACCCTGCGTACCACTAGAAAGAAGCGCCGCATTCTCACATTTTCTCAAGTGTGGCTGCACAGGTGAGTTTAAATCCGATAACTGTATTAAATACTTAAGCCCTGATACCGTAACATGTATTTTATAATGTCATGTTATTCGCTCTAGCATACTAACTCTCGCGGTGTGTAACAGCAACGTTAGTTATAGAAGACAGAAACCCGATGAATGGAGCTAGCTAGTTTGCTAACATAACATTAGCTAGCGTTAGCTTTAGCGTTATGTTTTGCTGTACTGGCGCTGTCTAGAAGATAGCAGTTAAGATGTATGGCTTCTGCATGTCATTTGATTCGAATTCATCGCCGACTACTGACATGGGTTTTTTATATAAACGACACATATGCTAAATTAAAGCCACAGCAATGTGACAAACGCTCTTGGACTCTTATGTTGTGTCATGCGTTACAGCGGTCACTATGACAACCTACTGGACATTATGGAATTAATGTTCTCCAGCTTTGTTAATTCTTTATATCTCACCTCGTGTGCAACCTGATGTTTTCCATATTTAATTGGAAAATAACTTGGGCATTAATAGAGGTGCAAAATACGCGAGGAGAAAGCCCTGATTCAGGAGTACACCACACTGAAACACTCAGGCACTGGGCTGATTGTTAGAAAGTTGGAAAATTTAAATTCTGAGATTCGTGAACTTAAAATGTTTTTGGGAGTTGATCAACCAAAAATCAAACTTGTATTCAACAGTGCACACGACCTTATAAACCTGTATTGTTGACATATTTCAGCCATCACACTTTTTTAGATGGTGTAAGCTACTGTTCTAATTTTATGGCAGTATTTCTGTAAGATGTTGTTTTGTTCTTTAGTCTAATAATAGTCAACATGTTGCCACTTCTGCCCTATTCCGTTGTCACAGTGTTATTACAGTGTCCACTAGCTCCTCCTTAACTTCAGATTATGGTCTTTTTCCAACAAAAAGGGAAAAGTTGGGAGAAGTATTTATTCTTTGAAACTAATTACTGTTTATGTGTGTTGAACATATTTCTGCTGTCTGCTTATAACTAAATACAGATGGCGAGTACAAAGGTTCCAGAGGTTCGTGACATCACACGGATCGAAAGAATCGGTAAGCATCCACATTACACCGAGCTGCTGTTTAGGGGACACAAATGAATGATTGCGAGCTACATGTGTTCTGTAACAGGTCAGCCCTAATATGTTTATGCAAGTTATACATGGTATGTACTTCCTCTTCCAAATGTGGTCAATATTAATGTTTTCATGTCTGTCTTGTGTTTAGGAGCACACTCTCATATTCGTGGCCTTGGTTTGGACGATGCTTTGGAGCCAAGACAGGTAATGTTGAGTCTTAAGTTCGTGGTCTGTAGCTGTGGGATTTGTTCCCTCTTTAGTTGACATTTGGCACTTAAAGAGATGATGTATAGATGTATTTTCGAGTGAAACCCTCTAAGGCTCTGTACTGCAAATTCCAGTGAATGTCAACTAATTGAAAGACTAGCTCAGTGTGGGATATGAAGCAGAAATGTTAATTAATGTAAATTTAACAGATACTAGTGCGGTGTTCTTTCAATATATGCCTGTTCAGAATGGGCCGCATGCGTGACCTGTAGTGTTGCTGCTAGCAGCTTTCTTGAGAACCGCTCATACAAACAGCTTCACACTCAACACTGCGCTTCGTTGGGTCTTCAGCAAAATACCTGCAATGACATAATTGCATCACACCTAAGTCGCGACCACTACGGTCAGAAACACCAAATACATTCTGATAAACTTTACTGTTAGACAAGGCAGGCAACCTGGGCCCCTCAACTAAAAAGGCACCTCAACTGTTTATTATGATTTTGAGATATGAAAAATATTGAGCTATGTTAAATTCCAAAAGGCCCCCAAAGCACTTAAAAAAACATGCATATTACTTAATGTGTAATTCTACTTCAGAGGAAAACATTTTAGTACTACAGTTACCTGATAAAACTGTTACTGACTACATTGCAGATTCAGATTTAACTAACAAAACATATCAGATTATATATAATGCATTATTATTTATGAAACCATCCAACGTCATATTAGAATTTAAAGTTCTACCTTGAACACAGACGTTGAGTAAATGATAAGGCATTTCTTTGACTGCACGTAAAGTAAAAATTTGAATGCCGAACTTTTACCGTGCAATATAATTTTATTATTAATAGTTATAAGTTTTACTTCAGAAGGCCTACTTCTGCTACCACTGTCAATACCAGCAGTCCCTGTTAGAGAAAGGGTGAAGAGTAAAGCAAGACGGCGTTTGCCGTTGGGCCTTTAAATCAGAAATCCGCCCTGAAAAACACTCCTAAGTCGCTGTTACTCGCAGTCGGAAACATCTGTGAAATACACTTAGCGGAGGTAATATCCAAATAGGCTTAGTAGTCCATTCGTAGGTTTGCTTTGACATAACCACCAGGGTTATGAAGTAGAATATAGATGTGGTTAGAGGAGGTACTTTTACTGGCAGTAACGTTGGTGTTCTTGATTAGCAGCAAGTCTTACAACGAGGAAATACACCAAAGTAGTGGCTTACTCACCCGCAGAAACACCGGTGAAATACACTCTGGTTCGATTCTGCTATCCTCTTGTGTTGAGTTAATGAGCCACTGCAGAAGATGTGAACCTGGAAGCTCCGCCCCCGCTGCTGCACACAGCGCCGTTTGCTTGTTTATTCAAAGTACAGTAACATTGAACATGTCACGTGTCTAAATTGCAATAAATTTGACGAAGGCTTTCTTGTGAGTCCCCAGCAATACACCCACAAAGTGTGAATTAGATCGAATGAGCGGTTATGCAAAGGACGGGCATCCCTTGACTTCCAGTATGACTGCAATAGACTCCAAAAGAGATCTCTTGCATAATAGTTAGATATTGGATTACAGCACATGAATGATGCGCTGATGTGCATTAATGTGCGTTTGGCTTCAAGGATACGTGTTCCCATTCACCTGCAGGTATCTCAGGGGATGGTCGGCCAGCTGGCCTCCCGTCGGGCAGCAGGGGTCATCCTGGAGATGATCAAAGATGGCCACATAGCTGGCAGAGCAGTACTGATCGCTGGCCAACCTGGCACAGGAAAGACTGCCATCGCTATGGGTAAGGGCCACATTGGAGGCTTTCCAGAACACAATATCATTTCACCCTCCTCCTCTGGAAGTCATACCGTTGTTGTAATTGGCTTCAGTTATAGTTTCGTTAAAGCAAGTGTTCCTTTTTTTCCACCCCAGATTCACGAGCTGAGTATAGTTTAGCTGAGATGTTTTTTTTTTTTTCTTTTTAATGCAGGCATCGCCCAGTCGCTTGGCCCCGATACACCCTTCACAGCGCTGGCCGGTAGTGAGATCTTCTCCCTGGAGATGAGCAAGACGGAGGCACTCAGCCAAGCTTTTAGGAAAGCCATCGGTGTGAGGATCAAGTGAGTGAGCACACACAAAAGATTGTTGTTTTTGTATTTCCTATTGTTTGAAATGAATCTGTATTCATCGTGGGCTTCTTTTACAGAGAAGAGACGGAGATTATTGAAGGAGAGGTGGTGGAGATCCAGATTGATAGACCAGCCACTGGAACGGTAGGCTGCCTCGTGGCACTTCCAAGTGCACTCAGAACTTGCTGTCGTACGTTCTTTACGCCAGAACACGCTATCTGAGTTGCTAGAAGACTCATTAAAGACAAACTTATAGATATTTGATTTTGTCTCAGGGTGCCAAAGTGGGAAAGCTGACTCTCAAGACTACTGAGATGGAGACAATATATGACTTGGGCAACAAGATGATCGACAGTCTCAGTAAAGATAAGGTTCAAGCAGGGTGAGTTAATCTCTTCATAGAGCTTTACACATCAGGATCACTCAGGCCTGTCGGATAGCCGTATAAGATCTAACCCGTCTTTCTCTATGTTTCCTCTCAGAGATGTTATTACCATTGACAAAGCCACCGGAAAGATCAGCAAGTTGGGCCGCTCCTTCACCAGAGCCAGAGACTACGATGCCATGGGAGCGCAGGTATAGTGCAACTGTCAAGTCGAAAACAATTTCTGCCTGTGGTCCCGTGTGTATTCATTTTTCTAAATTACATTTTATTGTGATTTTTGTTGTTCCTTGTAGACACAGTTCGTACAGTGTCCAGAGGGAGAGCTGCAGAAGAGGAAAGAGGTGGTCCACACGGTGTCACTCCACGAGATCGACGTCATCAACAGCCGCACGCAAGGCTTCCTGGCTCTCTTCTCCGGAGACACCGGAGAGATCAAGTCTGAAGTCCGCGAGCAGATTAATGCCAAAGTGTGTGAGTGGAGGGAAGAGGGCAAGGCCGAGATCATTCCTGGGGTAGGTGCAACTGTGTGTTTGTATATATTTATATCTATATTTGATTCGTCTGTCTTTTTATGACTTGACTGATTTTCTATGTTTGTGGTTCCAGGTGTTATTTATTGACGAGGTCCATATGCTGGACATGGAGTGCTTTTCCTTCCTGAACCGAGCCCTGGAGAGTGACTTGTCCCCAGTTCTCATCATGGCCACCAACAGAGGCATCACTCGGTACTATTTCTTTTCTGAGTTGTCTCATTTAGGAACACACCAATATGGAATTTATATGTCCCATACCATTTTTGGGGGGAATTTTAATGACTTAGTTATAACCTGTACGTCGGGCTATTTGATAGACTAAAATATTGACTTATAGTTTTTAAAATTTGGTAGATAAAATATTTATTTTTAAATATTCCTCTCTTTTATCACTTAGTATCCGAGGCACAAACTACCAGAGCCCTCACGGCATCCCCATCGACCTGCTGGATCGCCTGCTCATCATCGCCACCTCCCCTTACACGGAGAAAGAGACGAGGCAGATCCTCAAGATCCGGTGAGAATCTGCCTCCATCGTCTGTGAGGCCCAACTAGGTTTTGGCCTCTTCCCAGCTTTGTAGAAGGGAAAATAAACCTGCATGGTTTTCATTTCAGGTGTGAGGAGGAGGATGTGGAGCTGAGCGAGGAGGCTCACACCGTCCTGACTCGCATCGGCATGGAGACGTCGCTGCGCTATGCCATCCAGCTGATCAGCACCGCTGGACTGGTGTGTCGCAAGCGCAAGGTAAGCTTAGCTGGTTGTATTGTTGCAGCTGTAACATGGGGGGGGGGGGCAGTTATCAACATCTATCAACATCTAGAAAGAACTTTTTTTTCAGTCTCTGGTCAGATTGTATTTCAGTAGTTTAGTCATGAATTCCTGTGGTCCCAGTGTTGATGTCATCACTGTTTTGTTCTTTTTGGTGTCTTCAGGGAACAGAAGTTCAGGTGGAGGACATCAAAAGGGTTTACTCGCTGTTCCTGGATGAGGCCAGATCCTCTCAGTACATGAAGGAGTATCAGGATTCCTTCCTCTTCAATGAAACACGTGAGTCCGCTGTTCATCCTCTCTGTCTCTGGTAGTTTCCAAAGCCGAATTCCTTGGCAACACACAGCAACACTGCACATTGATGCTGCATTCACACAAGTTGAATAAAGGTCCCAACAATCCATCAAAATGCTGAAAGAGACTCTAATCCAGGGTCAGTCATTAGGGAAGTTGTCAGTTTTTTCATGCTTACTAAGACTCCATAGTGCTGATTGGGCAAAGCAGAGAAGAGAAGAGTACAAATTCAAACTCGTCTCAGCTTTGGTCTAGTAGGCTCAGCTGTCCCATCACGTCCTTTATGATGATAATGATAATGAAAGGCCTTCTCGCAAATGCAAAACAGAATGTGATATAGATTTTTAAAGGTGAGACATTTTTCTACTCAATATATTGTAATTCTTCACAGTGAATAAGCAGCGTGTATCTGTTCTTACATTTCAGAAACGCCTTCAATGGACACCTCATAATGAAGATGACTTGGTTTTCTTAGTCCCTGAAGTTTTTATGTTGTCGGTCGTCTCTCTGGTCGGAGGCAGTTCAGATCTGGATTTTACTTTTATTTGAATTCAGCATTGAATTACATTGAAGATGGAACTCAAATGTATTAAATAGACTGAAAGCCCCGACATGGTAAATCACCTTGAATTCTACATTGTTCAAATGTATTCACTGAAATTTGACTTAATTCTGAATTTACCACATTTCTGTTCATCTTTGAGGCCTTAAGGCAGGAATATCCATTCCTTCTGTTTCCTTTCTTTTGTTGACTTGTTTATTTTTATGAAAATTATTAAACAGGCTTTTCTAAGCACACTGTGATCATTTGTTTTTATATTTGTCACTTAGTCTTGAACGCTCATTCAATGTTTCATTCGGAACATCAAACTACACATTTTATTATTATTTTATATTTAATTTGATGTGACCAGTCCCAACTACCTCGGTTGAGGTTCTTTTGGGGGGGATAAAAGGATTACACAAAATAGTCAATCAGTGAAGTAAAATGGTGTAAAGTGGCGCATGCATAACGTATTCACCCCTTTTGCTATGAAGCCCCTAAATAAGATCTGGTGCTACCAATTACCTTCACAAGACACAATTAGTTAAATAAAGTTCACCTGTGTGTGATCTACGGGTCACGTGATCTCAGTATATAGGCCAAATCCCAATGTCCCCCTTACGGACTCACAGACTTTGAGGCGCGCTCCCGCGAAGTCCGTGAGGGTTTAGGGCTGTCCCACTGTCAAATCATCAAGTGTTTGAGGGCTCTCTCGCAGACATTTTGAGCCCTTTATGAACCGTTTCCGTAAGTCAGCATGGTATGCTGATTTAGCCTAAGGGAATTACCCACAAATCATTGCAATGTAACGTTAAACACGGGGTAACCAGTGGACGCATGAGACGTAAAAAAAAGGTAAACAAAGAGGATGGCTCACGTGTGTTCAGTCATATTAAATTTACTCAGAAACATAAAGGATTAAAGATGGAACAAAAAATAAACATGAAATCAGAGATTTATTTATTTATTCATCAAATATTTGATTTTGTCATTGAAGCTGTTTTGACAAAAACGAGTAAATAGATTATATGAAGTTACCTCTCATCTTGTGAAGAAAGAGCCTGAAGACGTTCAAATCAAGGAGTACAAAGTATAAAATAAATACACACAATTATACATCATATTTATTGTTGTTTTCATGGTAATATGATATGTTGCAGCAAAGTGCTGTCTCATTCATATTTCCACCATTTCAAGCCCTCAGTCTCTCACACTCAACCACTCACCAGGTGATGTCAGTAAGTCCTTGAGGGTTCAGGGGGGACATTAGGATTTGGCCATAGACTCACCTGTTCTGAAAGGTCACCGAGTCTGAGACACCTCCACCGATGCAAGGGGCACCATGAAGACCAAAGAGCTCTACAAACAGCTCCAGGGCAGGGATCTGGAGAGGTACAGATCAGGGCTGAGTTATAGAAAAAAATGTCCAAAACTTTGAACATACCACAGAGCACCACTAAATCAATTATTAAAATATGCAAAGAATATGGCACCCCAATAACCCTACTGAGAGAGCCACCCACTAAAACTCACATACAGACAAGAGGACATTAATCAGAGAGACAATAAAGAGACCAAATATGACCCTGGAGGGGTTTTAAAGCTCCATGGCAGAAATTTGAGTATCCTTCCATTGACTATATATAAGCTGAACACTCCACAGGGCTGGGCTTTATGAAAGTCTCCACTCCAAATGTGTTTACTTATTTCTATTTCTTTGTCTTTTGTGGTGCCATGCTCTTTACATTTTGTAATGATGGATTTAGTGCTGATTTAAAATAAATAAATAATCCACTCCCAATCTCTACTTCTCCAGAACTTCAGCACTGATTGTTTGGAGAGCTCCTTGGTCTTCATGGTGCCACTTTCGGAGAGGCGGTTCAGAGATTTCACACAGGTGGACTTTATTTAACTAATTAAGTGACCTCTGAAGGTAATTGGTAGCACCAGACCTTATTTCGGGGCTAAATACATATGCATGAGCCAGTTTTCAATTTTATCCACACTTCACTAATTAGGACTCATTTTTTATTTTATTTTTACTGTTCGGTCCATTACAATTAAAATCCCTTTCAATTCCAGGTTATAATGCAGCAAAATAGGAAAATCACTAACGGTGTTGGACACTTAAGACATAAGGAAATGAGCTAAATATAGAAGTTTGTAGCAGTTTGAAATAGTTTCCACCAGGTGGAGCCCAAAGATCTCTCTTGAAGACATCTGTTCTACAAACAACACACTGTGCACACTGCCCTGAGATAAATGGAAGCCCTGAACACGTTTTTCAATGAGCAAGTCAAACGGCATTGCTGACCGCTGAAACATATCTTCCTTCTGCATCATATAGATTAAAGCTGCCTTTCTCTGTGATGGGTGTGAGCTTGTACTGTAAATGACTGCAGCTGGTCCACACCTCAATCTCACACCCAGTCGGATGTAATAGGTGCTACTTTGCTCTCTCACACACACACATACACACACACACACACACACACCCCTAGATTCTTCTGTATTTAGATAATCAAATGCTTTGTACTTCAGAATCCAACCTTGTTTGCATTGTTATTCCATTATGGGCTTATGATCTGTTTGGTTCTTTGGATAATGGTTGCCTTTTCAATCAGTAGACAAAAGCATATATTACCCACAGTCCTCTGCCAAGAAGCTATGTTTCTTTCATAACTAATTAGAGCAGATAAATCAATTTTACCTGCATATAGTCTGCGTACAGCGCAGTGAAAATTAATATTTAATGTTTAGTGCTGGTGGGAGAGAATTCTGCGTGGATTACCCTGCTGCCTACATGCCATGAGTCTGCCGTTGGCTGCTGCCTACCACCGCATCTGATGGATTCACTGGTTGGATTAAAGGTGGGATAAACTTCATGAGGGCTCAGTTGTTTGTATTCAAAACAGGGTTTTGTGCGTCGCCTCCCTCTCTTGGGACAAACCTATATTCTGACTGCGATTCCCGTACGCTTCCACTTGATGTTGTGTTAAAATATGGAGCTCAGAATGTAGAGAGGAGACAGAATCCCCCACAATTCCTCTGAGCACAATTACACCGGTCTCAGTGTATCTAAAGACCTGCAGACATTTCTGTCTCTATGGTGTTTTGCTGTGAATCCAAAGCTTTGTTTACGGATCATATTCGGCTCAGGCCCTCTGGGTGCGAGCAGAGTTTCTTGGATTGGTTCCCACTCTTTGTCTACACACCACAGGCTACAAGGCTGCACAGCATGCTAACATGTTGTGGCATTTGCCTGCTGCGCCATGGTCAGGCCACGCTAGATCACAGAACCCCACCCCTTCCATCTCCTAATGTGGAGATTCGTTATTACCAGCTGGTTTAGCTTTGATAGTCAATATGAATCAGTGAGGGACCTTCCGAACACAGCCAGTGCTGATGGTTTTCACCTGGCTCTGTGAAGGGCAGGAAACACTATTGACTATCCAGAGGTCATTTGGACATTCTCAGTCTAACGAGGCTCTCAGTGTGAATGTCATTAGCTTAATGTGTCCATATGAAATGCAATGAATTGACTTGTTGATCAATTCAATTAAGATATTGTCAGCTAGGATTGACATAGGACATGAGCCTTTTGGAATATCTGCAGTATTCAATTATTTTTGTCATCATCTCATCTCATTGCAGCTTTTGTTCATCGGGATGTTGAAGCAAAAACACAACGTAGCCTTTGGAGCAGCCATGTAAGCTTCTGCATTATGTGAATTAATTGGCGTATTACAAAGTCCCAAATATGTGTCTTTGTCCATTTTGCACGTGGTCACAAAAATGCAATGACTTTGAATGTGACATGATGATGCTGCCTGCTGAAAAGACACATGGCGTGGGACGCTGATTACACGGCAAGCTCTTTTGCTTCATCTATCTGGACTTTTACAGGTTTTTATTGCAATTGCTAAAACACAATTTCTGAAACTAGGCCACTCATTGTCGAAACCACACACACACACACGCTAATAAAAAGCTCTTCCACATGCGACTTTAGGTATAACACACAATTAACATTTTCATTTGTAGCATGCTGTAAATATAGACTATGGACACAAATTCAATACTCATTTACTCAAAACGGTATCAAACACAACTAAAGTACTTGAAGTGAAGATGACATGAACACATTACTATATTGTATAGTAGAGTAAATACATTGTGTCAAATAACAGTCCTCTAACTCTTTCTTCAGAATTGTCTTCCATTGTTGTGCACACCGAAGAGCAAACCTGAATCCTATTTATGGTGGTCAAGCTCTGATTTCTAAGTGATCCGATTGGCCACAGGTGTTTTCACAGATGCATTGTGGGTGCAAGCAATAGATAATTGCGTGTGGAATTTCAGAAGGAGGCCAGGAGCAATAAGTCAAGTTAGCTTTCAACACAAAAAGACTGATAAAAACAAGAATGGACACTTAACATAAGAATAGTTTATATCCATCTGGTACCAACCCCTCTAGCATATTGTGCCTGCTCTTTTTATTCTATGTTTATTATTCCCATATTTTCTTTTTTGATGTCATCTTCCGAAAATAGGATTTTAGGATTCAAGCACCATTTGGAGTGTGTTGCTCGTGAATGGTTTGCAATATGAGTCCATTTCCTGAGGTTCCCAAGAACAAATAAATCTTCATCCACTCTCTCTTTCTCTCGCTCTCTCTTTGTCATATGTGAAAGGGCCGACCATGTGATTCCTGTGGTAAAATTAGAGGATGAGGTCAATGGAAGTTTGTATGTGCTTTCACATATGGCACTGAATGTGTACATTCTTTGATTTTGGAAAAAGAGGGATTATGTGACACAATGTACTCATGCTGCATCAGATTTGATGCAAAGTAAAGTCTGGAATTACTTGAAAAGAAAATACTAGTGGGCTGCCACACTACAGTGCCCATGCAGCCACCAACTCAAATTATGAATTTACTTCCAATCATTCCAGTTTGATCCAAAATAATTCTGACTTCATTAAACATTTTCATCTTCACCTCTGGGGTTTGTCAAGCAAGAGTAATGCCTGGATTTAAATAAAGGTTAAAAGACAGAGTGACAGTGAATGTGTCATAATGTAATGAGTTTTTTTTCGGACTACTCTGCTTTCTGAAGACATGTCAGTGGTGAATCAATCTGTACTCACACTGTCAGTGTGTAGTTTATGAAGATGATGGGGGGAGGGTGTGTGTGTGTGTGTGTGTGTGTGTGTGGAGGGAGGGGAGGGGGGGTGGCTGTGGCTCAGAGGAAGAGGGGGTCGTCTTCCACTTGGGAGATTGGCATTAACATAGTGCTTTTCTAGTCTACATGACCACTCAAAGA